TCCCCGCTTCCACCCACATTCCATACTGTTGCCAAAATGGTATTCCTAAAGCACAGTCCTGACCATGTCTCCCTTCACTGCTTAAGAAAGCAGTTTCAGTGACACTCCTATTGCCTCTAGGATAAATTCCGAACTCCTCTGTTTAGCACTTGAAGACCCTGTAACATAGTTCCAGTCTATCTTTTCCCATTTATTACATGTTGCCCTCTCCCACACACTTCTATGGTTCAGCCCAACTTCACTGTTTCCTGTACAAGATATCCCATCTCCCATCTCTCTGCTTGTACATAGATTTCTCCCATGCCCACAATGCTCTACTTCCTCACCTCTGCTTCTAGTATCTCTAATATCTTTCAAACAAGTATTGATTAAGCACCAGCCACTCGACTAAATTCTGGGGATACAAGACAAAAATGCAACATTCTTAGCCCTCAGAATAGCTTTATCCTATCAGGAGAAACAAAGTACAGACGCAAACATATACAAAATGCATGTAAAGCAAACCCAAACTAATTTCCTGGATGGAATGGTAGTGTGGGGGGGGGGGTGAAATGCACTTCCTCCTCACTTCGACCTTTTAGAATTCTTGGCTTCTTTTGAAGTGAGGAGGTAGCGCATTCCAGGCATGCGGGACAGCCCGTGCAAAAGAGTGCCCACTCTCAAGGTTCGGTAATGAGTAACAAATAATAATAACAGAGTAGTAAGTAAGAATAATAAGGAGTAATGAGTTGTAAAAGGCTGTCAACACCAAACAGAAAAGTTTGTGTTTCACCTGAAGGTACTAGGGCGCTACAGGAGTTTGTAGAGCAAGGGAGTGACACGACCACTTCTGTGCTTCGGTGATACCACTTTGGCAGCTCTATAGAGGAAAAACTTCAGCTTAGTCCAAGTCCTGCTTACTGCAGGTCTGATCTCCGCCTCCTTGTAATTATTGGGCCCCACCTCAAATTAATTTGTTTTGAATCTGGGTATGCTTTGTATTTATTTATCTGTATCTACCTTATTTTTTTCCCAGTAAGTAAAATAGCACCACTTTGAGAGTGGGCAGGACCTGTTTCCTGTCTGCTTTTGTACCCCCAGCACCAACAACGAGAGAGGCACCCAGTAGCTGCTTAATAGATGCTCGATGGTTCCAGTTGGACAGGAATCGGAGTCAGGAACGGTGTGCATGGTGAAGGAGGGAGTGTTCCAGGGAAGGGGCTGGGAGCAGGAGCGCTGGGGCATCTCAGCTGAGTGGTTGGGGTTTTTAAATGATGAGTTTTCACTATGCATCAGAATAGTTTGAGCCACTTGCGGGCAGCGGTTTCTCTACCACTTGGTGGTCCTAAAAGGTGGGTGAGAAACGGTGGGCAGGAAGTGGGGGAAGGGAAATGATTTCAGGGGACTCCCTTCTCCAAGCTGAGCATTCTGAAATCCATCATCCATTGTAGGGAGGGTGGTTCCAACGAGGCAAAATGAAAACGGGGCAGATCAGTGGAGGCAAGTGGCCACTGGGTGGCAGCACTGGCCCAGAAATCAGGGCTTCGAATCCTGAAGTATCTGAAGCGTGCTTCTACCACCGGGGAGTCCCTCACCCTGGCACGCCTTTCATCTGCCAGGAAAAGGTCAAGCCTCCTGCCACTTCGCTCTGTGATCCTGATCACCTGACCTTCGGGCAAGGCTCTGTCTCCCAGATCTCCTGCTTCCTTCTCCCTGCTCCCCATTCCCCCAAGCCCTGCGCTGGAGTTTAGACTGTGTTAAAGTGGGGGGACCCAGGCCCAAGGTCTCTTTCCCCCTTTCCCTCCTGACTGCATTGAGGTCAGAGCCCCAGCATGTGGGTACCCTAAAAGGGATGTAGGTCATGCCATGTGGAGATCTGGATGGTTGTTCACGCCATTCAGTGCAAGACCTGAAGTCAGCAAGCCGTTGTTGAGTTCAGTTATTTCTGACTCTTCATGATCCCCATTTGGGGTTTGCTTGGCAAAGACATGGGAGTGGATTGCCATTTCCTTCTCCAGCTCATTTGACAGGTGAGGAAAGTGAGGCAAACGGGGTTAAGTGTCTTGCCCAGAGTTACATAGCCAGTAAATGTCTGAGGCCAGATTTTAACTCTGGTAGATGTGGATTCAAATCCTGTTTCAGATATATATATATATATATAATGCCAGCAGTATGACTTAGGGCAAGTCATTTAACTTCTTTGGGCCTCAGGTTTCTCAGCTATCAAATGAGGAGTTTGGGGGACAAGGCCTTTGAGGTACCTTCCAGCTCTACATATATGTCTCGTCCTCTAGTCTCAGATGAAATCCCATCTCCAGTGTTCTAGGTTCTAAGATCCTTTCCATTGCTGACATTCTAGAATCTTTGTGAGTGATCCTAAGGGCACCTGTCAGCCAGGATATGGTTCTTTGGGATCTTCTGGAAGTTGAACCTTAATCCATCACAGTGGGCCTGTCTCCTCTCCCCAACCCCATTCTTAGCATCTCACCATCCAGTACATTTGCATAAACTGGTTTGGTGAGCCTGAATTCAATTCATTTCAATTCAGCAGTCACTTTTTAAATACTTCCTATGTATAAAACATAAGTTGACATAAGTTGAAAGAACTGGGTTCAACAAATAGGGGCTTGTGACCTTGGACAAGTCACTTAACCTCTGTGCTCTGGGCAATACAGTAAGACTACAGACTAATTGCAAAGAAGGTGCCAACCTCTGGGGAGTGCTCCGCCCCTTTCACAACCTTATAAACTACAACCCAAACCCATGTCCCCCCAGCAGTCCAGCTGGGCTCATTTTCAAGCCGTGACTGTTTTAAGCTTACTCAGGTGTCCCACTTGCTCTGGACTAGGCACATCCCTGCCCCAGACTCTCTAACCAGTCCAAGAGTCACAGCTGAAACTTACAGCATTTATTCTTCTAACTTAGAGACCTCCAACATGTAAACAACCAATCAGAAGAAAGATTTATGAGGCAACATATTGTAATGAGAAGAGACCCAAATTGGGAGTCAGGGAAACCTGGATTCCAATCCTCCACTGCTACCTTCTGCCTGTGTGACTGTAGGCAAGCTCCTCTCTGGGCCTCAGTTTCCTCATCTATTAGCTAAGTGATTACCTTGAGGAAGTCACTATACTTCCTCTGGCTTTGGTTACTGATCCATAAAGGGAGGGGGGAAGAATAGATGAGCCTGACCACATGTACTCTAGACCTAGTCAGAACACAGTCTGGAGTATTGTCTTCAGTTCTGGGTAACATTTGAGGAAGGATGCTGTTGAATAGCAATGTGGTGCTCTGGATTTCAGGTCACAGGACCTGGGTTCCAATCCCAATGTTTGCTACTGACATAAGCGTGGACAAATCATTTCCCCAATCTGGACCTCATTGTGTTCATCTTCATCGTTGTTGTCTCCCAGTATGATTTTTTCCATTTCCCACCTCTCTTCCTTTGCCCAGGCTATCTCTCATGCCTGGAATATTCTCCCTTCTGACCTCCACCTCTTGGAATCTGTAGCTGTCTTTAAGGCTCACCTCAATTACCACATCCTATAGGCAACATTCCCTCCAGGTGGTAGAAAGGGTGGAGATCCTGCTATCCCCATAAGTTCTGAGAGTCCTTTTAAAAAGAAAATAAATTCTGCTGACATCTTATTTTTGCATTGCCTAAATTTCTTCCTATATTCTTCCCACTCCCCTTCCTATAGAGCCTTCTCTTATAGCCATTTAAAAAAGAAAAAAGAGAAAGGGGAAAATTAGCTAAACATACATATATATATATATATATATATATATATATATATTATATATACACACATATATGTATATGTATGTATGTATGTATATATGTGTGTGTATGTGTGTGTATATATGTGTGTATATATATGTGTATATATATACACATATATATACATATATATATACACATATACATATATATATATATATAAGCCTGCAGTATATGCAACGTTTTATACCTATGGATTCCTTCCCTGCCCCCACACCCATCTCTGCAAAGGAGGAGGGAAGTATCTTATCTCTTCTCTTGTCTTTTCTTTAGGGCCAAGCTGGTTCTTTTGAATTTTGCAATATCAAAGCCCTTTTTAATCTACTTTGTATACATTTTAAATTAGTTTTTCTGTGTGCCTGATGTTTTTTCCCCAATAGAATGTAAACTCCCTTGAGGACAGGAACTACTTTAAAAAAAAATCTTTGCATCCCCACCCAGTGCCTAATACAAAGTAGCTGCTTAACAACCACCTGCTAAATTGAAGTAGGAGAGAGACAGATTTAGTCAACAAGTCAAGTCAATAAGCATTTATTAGACATCTGCCATACAGCCAGGTATTGAGGATACATACAGGTGCCCTTAGGGTCACTCACTGAGAACAAAACATGGTTCCTGCACTCAAGAAGTGCACATTCTAATGTGGAAGATGATATTCAAATAAGTATGTACACATAAGGCATAAACAGGCATATAGGAGGTGATCTCGAGGGAAGGATTACTAGCATTAAAAGTGAGGGGTTAAGAAAGATTCAGCCTTTATGTAAGGAAGAACTGTCTGTCAACCAGAGCTACCAAAAAAATGGCATAGGCTGCCTGAAAGAGAGTTAGTTTCCCCTTGCTGGAGAACTGTAAACAAGGGTTGGGTAGGTTTTGGTGGGTAGGTTGTAGAAGTGATTCAAGTTCAGCTACAGGTGACTCTTGGTGGTTGAATCTCCTTGCCAACTCACATTCTGTGATTTGATGACCTTCTGAAAGTCTTTTCTAGTTCTAAATCTTATGACCCCTTGTCTTATTATAAGGCATAAATAATCACATGGTGGTCTTGTGAAGGCAGGAGACCTGTTGTCCTGGCATTTCTTCTGTTTTTGAAAATTGAAAATATTCCATTGCAGGTTTAGCAGAGAAGACATGTTGGTTTGGTAGAGTGGTCATCCCAATCTGTTTGGGGTTGTAAGTTTGAGGGGCTCTAGGTTTGTTGACCTTGGGGCCTCTTTCTCTCCTTCTCTCCTGGCCTCAGGTGGGTGTTCTTACATGAAAAAGCATACCAGGTACGGGATACAGCCATTGAGTCTTCAGTGGTGACCAAGGTGAAGGGCTTTGGACACTATGCCAACCGAGTCATGGATGTATCTGACTACGTGACCCCACCCCAGGTAAAACCCTTTCTGAAGGGCATGTGGATGAGGGAGGCCATAATGGGGAGGTCTGGGGGGAAAAAAAAGAGGAAAAAGAGGCAGAGTGATACTCAACTCTAGGCCAGAGATAGTGGAAGGTCTTGAGGTGACTGAATTCAGGTCCCCCTAGATCCCTAAGATTTGAGGGAATGATAATTACCTATTGGTATAAGGGAGGGTCTTACCATTATAAGTACTGGCCTGAGAATAAGGAAAACTGGGTTTTAATTATAATTTTTGCTTTATATTTCCCTGAGTAAGTGACTAAACCTTTCTGGGCCTCAGTTTCTTCACCCACTAGATAGAGATAATAATGTTGTCCTACCTGATATGAACAGCAATAGTGAACACTTACAAAGGACTTTGAGTTTACAACAACCATAAATATAAGATCTCATTTGAGTCTCACAATAATCTTATGAGGTAAATACCTCAGGTATTGTTATTCCCATTCTGCAGAAGAGAAAACTTAGGCTCAGAAAGGCAAAGTAATTTAGTGATGATCATGCAGCTAATAAGTGCCAGAGGTAGGATTCAAACCTAGGATTTTGGAGAGAATCAAGGGCAGGGATATCTATGAGAACACTTTAGAAAATGTAATGTAAGAGATTACAAATGTGAGGGGTTTTTTCAAACTATGATTGCATTTTTTCTCTGCCATCCTCTACTTCAAAGGGGACCTCTGTCTTTGTCATCATTACCAAATTGATCATCACTGAAAACCAGAGGCAAGGATTCTGCCCAGAGGTGAGAGCTGGTGAGGTGGAGAAGGGAGGAAATAAAGATAGCAATAATGATAATAAAGGGAGGACATTAGCCAAGGGAGGCAGAAAAGTACGCTTTTAAGGAAGAGAAAGCCAGGGCTCTAGGGGATGTCATATCGATGGGGACAATGGTGCTGCTTGGATGGGAAGGAGTGAAATTGCTAGGGAGAAGTTCCTGCAGATGGAGAGGTTGGAGACACAGTAGGAGTAAAGCAAGACTTGTCCAGATGGACTGTGGAGCTGAAAGGGGCAGAAGTAAGAGGCAGTGGCAGAAGAGAAAGCAGGCTCAAAACCAAGAATCACAATAAGGTGTGAAGGAGATTATAGAGAAGGGAGGTGCAGGATCCAGTCTGCAAGATGTAATTACTTCAGTTTGCCACATTTATGTGGACTATAGGCCTGTGAGGTAGGGGTGTGTGTGTGTGTGTGTGTGTGTGTGTGTGTGTGTGAACGACATCCATGTGTAGCCAGCCCTGCCCTCCAGCTTCTGAAGTCACTTCCCTTAGAAAGCTCCCACCCACCACAGCCCTCACTTTTCTCCGTGACAGTGGCTGAGTCCAGAGCAGTGAGGGCTTAGAGTAGTTAAGACCATGGTCAGAGTCAAGAACATGGGAAATGAATTCTCTGACCTGCTTCATGTCTGGGGGCCAACAACCCTTTTCCTACCTCTGCCCTCCCCAAAGAGACAAAGACTGATTCTACTCCATTCAGTCTCTAAGCCTAAAGGCTTTCCCTCCTTCCTCTACCTCTTAGAATACTTAGTTTCCTTCAAAGCTCAGCTCTAAAACCACCTTCTATGTGAGATCTTTCCTGATTCCCCCACCTCCAATCAGCCAGCACTTGCCCTCCCCTTTCATTAAAATCATCTTATATATGTGTATGTATATGTATATGTATATGTAATATACACACTATACTGTATTATATGATACAATATGATATAACACAATAGAATACAATAGAGTATAACAATATAATATGATATGATATAATAAGACAATATAACATAATATAATATAATCTGATACAATATAGTATAATGTAATATAAGCACACTGTATCTACCCTGATACAGTGTAAGCTGCCTGAGGGCAGGGAATATTTTGTTGCTATCTTTGTGTTCTCGGTGCCTAGCAAAGTTCCTGGCACATAATGGTAGGTACTCAGTAAATGCTGGCTGATGGACTGAATTCAATAAGCATTTGTTAAACCCTGAGGAGGTGCCTGGCCCAGTGCTAGGCTCTGGGGATGTACAGATTAAAACAAAATGGTTCCTGCCCTAAAGGGGCTTATATTCTGGAGGGAGGAGATGGGGATAGGGGAGGAGAATATGCCTGCAGAGAGAAGTAATTGTAACGTATGAACAAAAGAAATGCAAAGTAATTTCTTGGAAGATGGATCCCCTGTGACTGGGGCAAGGTCTCTTGAAGGCCAGGGCACATAAGCTACATTTTAAAGGAAAGCAGGGGTCCCAAGAGGCAGAGGTGAGGCAAGAGAGCTTTTGAAGCGTGGAGGCCAGTCTGTGAAAAGGCCCAAGGGTGGGAGACATAGGAAATAGCAAGGAGGCCAGTCTGGCTGGAATGTGGACTGTGTGAAGAGATTGCAGCCCAGTTCTGAAGGGCTTTAAACACTGAACAGAGGCCATAAGGAACCATTGACGTTGTTTGAGCAGAGGAGTAACATGGTCAGATGTGTGGAACACTCATTGGCAGCTGTGTGAAGGATAGACTGCAGAGGAGAGAAGGAAGTGGGGAGCCTGGCCACTGACCCCCTGAGGGGTTCTGAGAGGTAGGGAGAAAGGGGTGCTCCATCATAGCATCTGCTCCTGGTCGTGTCTCTGCAGAATGAAGAGAAGTATGCCTGTACCACAGACAGGGACTGCCGGGCCGAGAGTTTCACTGGTGGAGGTGAGTGTGACTGTGCTAATGTTTAGGGAGAACCTAATCCCGGCAGAGTGTTCACTAGCTAGGGCAGAAGGGGGCTAAGTAGCAAATCTACCCATTTTCTAACAAGGTTAGGAATACAGGGGAAAGGAAGAGACAGATGTGGCTGTCCCCTCAGGTACAATTCTGACTCCTTCTGACCCCCGGCTGGTCTTCCTGTTATAGAGACCCTGTCCAATGGTGTCCTGGTAAATGTTGAACAACTGGTTTTCCACCCAAAAAAATGTACCTATGACAAACTTTTCAGTTTAATCTACAAATTAGTAATTTCTAAGGTCTAGACAATCAGTGAAACAGTCAAGCCTAGATTGTAGCTTTGGCCAATTTCCAAGGCACAACTGGTAATTGATCAATTATCTTTCTCCAGTGGTTTGGCTGATTCTGGTACATCCCAATCTGGACCCTCCTAGCTCAAATAGGTGGGGGTAGAAGGTGGGAGAGGGCAATAGGATGGATCCCTGGGTGATGTGGCCATTATTTTCTCCCAGGCATTCTCACTGGCCGCTGTGTGAACTATAGCTCGAAGCTAAAAACCTGTGAAATCCAAGGCTGGTGTCCTGTGGAGGTTGACACAGTGAAGATGTAAGAGCTGAAGCCTTCTGATCCCCCTGAGCAAGATGGAAGAAGACGATTTAGCCCCCAAGTCACCTTGACTTCCCAGCATGTGCCCTTGTAGACTCCCGGGGAAGTCCCTATTCTTGGGGCTTGGGGAGCAGGAGGGGTCCCCTTGCCTGCCTGTTGACTTTCCTCCATTTTCCTCCCTGAGTCCTCCCACCCGAGGACAGAGGTTCTGAAAGGGTTTCCCTTTAATACTGAAAGGCCCCATTTCTACAGACTTGGGGCCATGTCTGTTTACCCTTTGGGGGATCAACTCCCTTCCCCACCTCTCCAGGAAGAACTCAGGGTTCTGCTTTCATTCTGCAGGCCTGTCATGATGGAAGCCGAGAACTTCACCATCTTCATCAAGAACAGTATCCGCTTCCCTCTCTTCGACTTTGAGAAGTGAGTCCTTGGTCTGGACCTAGAACCCAGCCAGCAGCTTCCTCCCCACATCTCTCATCTTCCATACCTAAAACCCACTGGGCAGTTTCCTTCCCTCTTTTTCCTCAGCATTCCTACCTAGAACCCAATTCACAGATCCCTCCCTTCCTCCCATGTATTCTCCCCTCTAAAATCTGATCCACAGCTTTCTGTTCCTTCTCCATTTTTCACAATCCACAACTTGTTTGCTCTTCTCCTCTTATTCTTCCCCCTTAGAACTGATCCATAGCTTCTTCCCCAACCTCCCTTCCTGTATCTAGGAAGTTAGAGCTAGACACAAGGACATAAGAGACAGGTGCACCTGGTCACATTAACTTTGTTTCCTTTGTGTGCTTTTTGCCCTTTGTCATCATTTAGACTGGGGAAGGTGGTCGGCCTTTCCCACATCCTTCCCCAAGCCTAGGCCTCTCTTGGGGCTTTTGCTTGAACCACCTCTAAGTGATCATCAAATACTTTTGGGCCCATTGTCCTCCTGGGCTTGGACGAAACAACGATAGCATTTACTTAGGGCTTCAAGATTTACAATTCACTTTCCCTATAATTCACCTTCCCTGCAATTATCCTGTGAAAGAGGTAGTGAAAGTTTGGGGAGGGCAAATATGCTTCAGCTGGGGCCTCACAGATGATAAGCCTCAAAGTCAGTATTAAAACCCAGGCCTTCCAACTCCAAGAGGAGTACAAATGAGTAATGTTACAAATCGCCAAATTATTCAATCATGGTAATAATAATAATATTTATGTAGCTACATATATGACGATGGGGCCACTAAGTGAAGCAGTAGATAGAGTACCGGGCCTGCAGTGAGGAAGAGTCATCTTCCTGAGTTCAAATCTGGTCTCGGACACTTACTAGCTGTGTGACCTTGGGCTCCAAGAGAGGCTGGGACATCTTCCGGACAGCCCAGTCTGCACCTCTGCTCAGTGGTCACTTGTACCCAACCTCAATTACTGGGAAGAAGCAGGAGAGGGAAGCTAACCCCAGGAGAGAGGCACCAAGCTAAAGGACTCTGGGAGTTTTATCCCAGTGCTGGAAAGGGAGTGTCATGGTCCTATGTGAGGTTGTTGTTCAGCTGTTTTTCGGTCATGTTCGACTCTTCATGACCTCATTTAGGGTTTTCTTAGCAAAGAAACTGGAGTGGTTTGCCACTTTCTTCTCCAGATCATTTAACAGATGAGGAAACTGAGGCAAACAGGCTTAAGTGACTCGCCCAGGGTCACACAGCTAAGTGTCTAAGGCCAGATTTGAACTTACAAAGATGAGTCTTCCTGACTCTAGGCGTGGCCCTCAATTGCATCATGCCATGACAAAAGATTACTGAGAGGAAGAATGTAATCCCATGTCCTCATCCAGAGCAAAGTCATAGTTGTGGCTATTCTCATGAGCCATGGGACTATAAATGACTGTAATTGGGCTTACACATTTCCCCCCAAATTTACAAAAACACAAACACATCCCTCCACAGGCTGTTTTCTTTCAGATAAATAAAGCCAATGAACTGGTGTGAATGATCTGTTCGTGGCATTGGCTGCTGTGGCCTGATTTAATTGAAGACCGTTTGGCATAGTGGAGCCTACTCCGGGTTTGGAGAGAGAGGGCCTAGACTCAAACCTGCTATTCATGAACTCTGGGAGCCTGGGCAAAGGACTTTTCTAGGCAGCTCCCTCAGTCCAGTCCTGAGATCCCTTTCTGCTCTGACATTCTAGATTCTAGGTCTCGGTGTCCCTTCCAGGTTTTTCAGAGGACCCTAATTCTAGAGCTGGAAGGGACCACAGAGGCTCAGTACCTTAATTTTCCAGCAGAAGCAGCTGGCCAAAGGAGGTTGAGGGATCTGTGCAAAGTCACACAGCTAGGAAACTTTCGGTTAAGCCGGAGCAAAACACTATTAAGCCAGTGTGTTTTCTGCTGTGTCAGACCATTTCCCTCTGACATGCTGTTCTAAGGTCCCTCCCAGGCCCAGTGTTCCATGTTCTAAGATCCCTCCCAACTCTGATGTTCTATGTTCTAAGGGCCCTTCCAACTCCAACATTCTATGTCCCATCCATGATTCATTCTGTCTTTAAACTGAGTGAAAATCTGTCCAGATTATCTCCTGTCACTACTCACATCTTTTTCTTCCTCTCCCCTGAGCCCTGAGAAGGCAATTAGGAGGGGTTGGGGTGGGGCTCTGCTTTTTGCTCCTTCCCTAGCTGGTCTTTACCCCAACGTGTTAAGAGTAAGAATGTTCTTAGTTTTGGCACCCAAAGCCACCCAGTCCTCCTGTCCTCTGGCTTCAGGTCCTGTGTTGGGAGCTCTGTTTCAGGCTGCACTGCATGGTTTTTGGTTTGGCCCTGGCACAGGAATCCTCCAGGATACCTCAAGCCCCAGGAGATGTTAACTGAAAACCCTATTTTCCCCTTTGTCCCTTGTCAATCCACCCCTGATTTTTTTCCATTCACCCAGGTTCTCACTCTTCTCTCTTTTTTCCTGCTCTTTCCCAGGGGAAACTTGCTACCCAACCTCACCTCTGCAGACATAAAGAAATGCCATTTCCACCCTGAAACTGCCCCCTTCTGTCCCATCCTTCGGGTGGGCGACGTGGTCAAGTTTGCCGGACAAGATTTTGCCAAGCTCGCCAACACTGTGAGGACTCCATTCTCTTGTCCCATGTGGTGTCAGCACTTCCTCTAATGTCTGAAGCCCGTGACACTATGGCCCGATGGGTTTCTGTAGAGTGGAGGTGGTCCAGAAACCTGGGGCAAGACCCCAGCCCACCAACTTCTATTCTTTAGGCATCTTTTGACTAGATCAATTGGCACTGCTAGCTGTCAGCCTCTGTTTTTCATTCTGTGCAGTGGGGGGAAAGGGACTAGACCCCACCCACTCTTTGTCTTGAGAGTGGTTGAGTCATTGAAAATGCCCAAGAATGTTTAAAAAACACAAGGTCCCCCAAACAATGGAGACTAGTCAAGAAACAATTAAACACCCAGTATTTGTTGGGCATTGTGACAGGTCATACCTTGGTATCTTTTTCTCTCACATAATGTGGTTGGTAGGGCAGGACTCCCAGACCTGGGAGCTAAGGAGTCACGAAGCCTCAGCCTAGTTGTGGGGCCTCTTTATTGAGGTCCTTGGGATAAATTATTTCCCTTTCTTCAAATCCCCCATCTAAAGACAGGAAGCAAGATGCTGCCCAATTACGTCTAGGGAAGCTGGGAGAAAGCATGAGAGTGCTCATAATTGAGAGGCAGGGGAGTGTAGTACAGAGCTGACCATGGAGCCAGAAAGATGTAGGTTCAAGTCCCACTCCTGAACATACTGGCTATGTGACCCTGGTGGGGTGAGGGCCAACCTGTATTTCCCCATCTCCCCATTTTCCTCATACAAAAAAAAATCATGGGTCTAGTAACTCTTTCTTATTTTATATATATTTAGGGCACCTAGGTGACATAGTGGATAGACAGAGCAGTAGACATGAAATCAAGAAGAGCTGGGTTTGAATTCTGGCTCAGATACTAGTTATGTGAGCTGGAACCGATTATTTAACCTCTCAGCCTCAGTTTCCACATCTATAAAATAGGTGTACTAATAATAGCATCTCTCTCACAGGGTTACTATGAGGATTAAAGGAGATAACATCTTTAAGGTGCTTTGCCAATTGAAACCACCATATAAATGCTAGTTGTTGTTACTATTATTTAATAATTATTACAACAATATTAATATCCAGTTTCTCTTTTCAGGGAGGAGTCCTGGGCATCAAGATTGGCTGGGTCTGTGACTTGGACAGGTCCTCAGATCAGTGCATCCCCAAATATTCCTTCACCCGGCTTGATGGTATCTCTGAGAAGAGCAGTGTCTCTCCTGGCTACAACTTCAGGTAATTCCATGGAGGGATTGGAGCAGAGATGTGCTATTCCCAGTAGCTTCATCCTCACCAACAATAAGGAGTAAAAGACCCTGCATCTATAGGATCATAGGAAGGTCTATGTGAGGGAAAACCTGAGTTCTGTTTCCATTTTTCTTGTTAGTAATTTGGCACAGACTCTCATATGGTTGTTGATTGTCTATATTTCTGCTTTTGAAAGCCATTTATGTCTTTTTACAATTGTCTATTGGGCAATGACTCTCATACATGTGTGTTAGAATCAAAAGAATGATGCTCTGTTGAGGATAGGAGAGAGAGACAGAGAGACAGAGAGGGAGAGGGAGAGAGAAAAGGAAGAGAGAGAGAGAGAGAGAGAGAGAGAGAGAGAGAGAGAGAGAGAGAGAGAGAGAGAGAGAGAGAGAGAGAGAGGAGAGAGAGAGAGAGAAACCAGGTACTTCTTTGTTAACTTCTTGGGATACAGATAAAAGCAAATAAGGCAGTTCCTACCCTCAAGGAGCTTGCATTCTAACAGGAGAAGATGATACATGTTATAGAGTAGGACAGAGAGAAAGTAGGGGAGGCTGGAGAGTGAGTCACTGCATTTGTGGGGATCTTCATGAAAGTCTGTCTCAGGGCTAGGGATTCATCAATCAAAGAGCAAGCCCCAGGGCAGGGGACCTTTCCAGTGGGGCAGTGCTGTAGGAGAGGGAGGGAGGTAGAGAAGTCCAGGAGAATGAGTTAACCCGGGAGTGAAGTGAATGTGGCTGGCTCCTCTCATAAAATGAAAGTCCAAAATACTGGATTTGGAATCAGGAAGACACGTGGTCAAATCCTGCCTCAGACAGCTAGGTGTGTGACCCTGATCATGACATGATCTCTCTGAGATTTTTCTTAGTCTATCAAATGAGGATAATCATAGTACTTACCTCACAAGATTGTGAGCATGGAGTGAGCTCATGTATATACAGAACCTTGCACACCTTAAATAATAACAATGACTACTGTCTATTGTGCTCTAAGGTTCACAGAGCATTTTACAAATATCATCTTATTTTATCTTCACAATGACCATAAAAAGGAGGTATAATTATAGTCCCCACTATATAGATGAGGAAAGTGAGGTAAAAAGGTGAAGTGATTTGCCCAGGGTGGCTCAGATAGTAAGTGTCTGAGGCAGGATTTGAACTCAGGTCTTCCTGACTCCAGATCTAGAAAGTTCCACTCTTTCATCTCCCAGATAAAGAAAAAGCTCTAAGAGGAAAATCACTTGCTCAAGGCTCTGCCATTTTATATGAGAATCAAATAAACTAGGGATGTTTAACTTGAAGAAGAGATGAATTGGGAGTGGGGGGCATGCTTGTTATCTTCAAGTATTCAAAGAGGTGCCCTGTGGAAGAGGGATTAGACCTCTTTTATTTGACTTGACTCTTGGCCTACATCACTAAAGAACCCAAGCAATTTCCAGACTCCTCTCCCCTTTCTGATCAAAGTGTCCTAATGTTCGATCTCCTCAAACACCTCACTTAGATTAAAGGAGATGTTAGATGACCCTTCAAACACTCTAGAAGAAAGATGCTTAAGATATTCAAATCATGAATTCAAATCCCAGCACTAATAATAACAAATTATAATGATACTTCATGTCATTTCTGAAAATGAAACTTTAGTATGCTTCTCTACAGTCTCAGTGGTAGCATGGAATATTTAACACTAGCCATTCTACTAGGTACAAACTAAATTAAAGTGGGTGCATTGGTCTGACTAGCCAGAGCTCAAGGAGCTTCACAAACATTGTCTGCTCTGTAATAACTGGTGCTTTTCGAGCGCTTACCTAGTTCTAAAGGAAAGCCCTTCCTCTAAGAAGCTCAGCGTCTAGTGAGGGAGCCAAGAAGCAGAGGCATGTTTGCTAAGGTCCCTTCAAGCTCGAAATGTCTGTGATTCTCTGCCATGAAGATGTCAACAACAGACACTTAGAACTGCCTCCAGACAGCCTCCCGTTAACTGACACCCTCCAGCAAGACTAGCCTGGGCAACCAGCTAGCTTTGTGTCATCCTGGGGCCTTTTTCCAAGTGTTTTGGTAGGGATCCAGCTGGGAAAATTTGTGGTTGGAGGAGTGCTGTGCTAAAAGTCTAAAACTGAGAGATTTGCTAAGTCGGGGGTGATTGTCTTCCAGCAGTTTCTAGATGTGGGTCACTTCATCCCCATGCCATGCTCACTGGGTCCTGGCCTTGGCCAGTTGTCACCATATAAATGGATTAACCCTTGGTTTATGGGACCATTTGGTTAGTTAGAACACCCTGTTCTCCAACCATCCCTGTTAACTGAGGTGTTACTGTGTGGGTGTGTGGGTGTGTGGGGAGTTAGGCAGAGAGATGATGGATGGATAATAATAGGAGTCTTGGTGAACTTCAAGCTCTTTCTGAGTCAACAGTGTGACATGGCAGCTGAAAAAGCTAATTTTCTCCTTGGCTGCATTAAGAGAAGACTAGTGTCCAAAACAAAGTCACCGATAGTCCCAAAGTCCTCTGCCCTCTCCAGAACACAGCGGTAGAGTTGGGTTCCTTTTTGGAAGTCATATTTTAGGACACTGATAAGTGGGAGATTATCCAGAAGAGGATAGCTAGGAAGGTGGGGTGGTAAGGGGATTCCATCCAGTTTAAAACAGCCTGGGGAAGAAAATAGGTATGGTAACTCTTTTCAATTATTTCAAGTCTTGTCATATGGAAGAAGGATTTGACTTGTTCTACTTGGTTCCAGAAGGCAGAACCAGGATCAAGGGGGGATGCAGAGTCAGACGTAGATGTGAGGTCAGGAAAACCTTCCAAAAGTTCTGCATTTGGAATCAGAAGGCCTGGGTTTGAATCTCAGCTCTGCCACTTGTGGGATGGTGAGCAAGTCAATCTTTTTCTCTGTGCCACAGTTTCCTCATCAATACAATGAGGGGAGAGGAGTAGAAGATTTCTAAGGCCACTTCCAAAGCTGACATTTTATGTTCTCTGTTCTGAGGTCCCTTCAAACTCTGACATTCTATGAGGCCAAAAAGTGAGTTAGTTTAGTAGGGGACATAGGAGGCTATAGGGACTGATCTCAATGAGAATTAATCTGTGTGGTAGAGAAATCTAGGAGTGGGAATCAGCGTTCTTCACCTGGTTCTGCCACCTCCTGCTTGATCTCTTGATCAGTAAAATGATGGGGTTGGAGTGGATGAATTCCCTCCCAACTCTAAATCTTCTGATCCTACAAGAGGTTTAGGATATCTTTTCTTCTCCTTCCTGGTGTGGAACAAGATAAGTACTTCCTAGACCTTGAGTTTCATTAGGGGAGTGGCCATGTGAAGCTAAATGTTGTGTCTTCTCCATACGAGGAAACTGAGGCACAGAGAACTTTAATGGGTTGCCCATGGTCACATGGCTATTAAGTGTCCAAGGTGTGAGTCATACCCATGTTGTCTTGACTCCAAGGCTAACATTCTGTCACACTGCCTCCCATTATACTTTGCATGATTAGATTAGGATGGCATAGTATGTATCATCATAATAACTTATACTTGCAAAACACTTTTACATTAATTAGCTAATTTGGCAGGAACAGCTAAGCAAAAATTATTATCTCCATTTCTTTTCTTTTTCTCCTTCTGTTCCTTCTTTTCCTTTCTTCCCTCTTTCTTTGTTGTTCTCTGTCTCTTCTCTCTCCTTTCTTTTTCTCCTTCATTTTGTCTTTCTTTTCTCTCTCCTTTTTCTCTCTTCCATTCTCTAGCTCTTCTCTCTCCTTTCTCTCTTTTTCTGTTTCTTTCCTTCTTTCTTTTTTCTTTCCTTCTTCCTTCCTTCCTTCCTTCCTTCCTTCCTTCCTTCCTTCCTTCCTTCCTTTATCATTGGAGTAAGAACTTCTGGTGAGAAAACCCTCCTCTAAAACAGATCACCAAGTTTTCTACAACTTACACAGTTGGCATAGATCAGTGGTGTCAAACTCAAATAGAAGCAGGAGTGCCTGAACCATACATAAGAATCCCTGAGGAGGGCACATTAACTTAGAAAACCACACATTAGCATTACCTATGTTCTATTGTATTTTTATTTTGATCCCCAGGTATTTTATACATTTTGTAGTTATTTGGAATGGGATTTCCCTTTCTATTATTGTTTCTTGTATATTTTTATTCATGTTGTTAAATATTTCCCAATTATATTTTAATCTGGTTCAGGCCACACTAGGGAGGGCCTCATGTCTGACACCTCTGGCCTAGCACACTAAGAGTTTTAGTGAGTTGCCCAGGGTCACGCAACTAGTATGTGACAAAGACAGGACTTGAACCCCAGTCTTTCTAGCTTTGAGCCCTCCTTTCTACGCACTGTGTCACGCTGTCTTTCTCTAGTTCATACAACTGGGAAAACTGATGTGTGAGAGAGATTAAGTGATTTTGCCAGGGCCATATGGCTGTAAAACAAGACTTCAAACCCAGATCTCCTGACTCCCAGCCTGGGGCCTCTTCCCCTACAGCCCCACCCGCACCCCAGGGATAGAGTCCATTACAGCTGGAGTGTCCTCTAGCTCCAAAGGTGATGGAGGACAGATGAGGGTGAAATGAGAGCTTGCACCCATTCTTACCCTGTGGGCCTGGCACTCTCTGCAACAGCACCAGACGCAGTAGTGGCAAAATCAAAGTCTAATTTCTTGTTTCTTGAGACTCTAATTTCCACAGGCAGAAAAAATATCTATATGAAATTTTGGATTTTCTCTCTTGATTTCTGGGACAAAAACCTCTTCTGTAGCAGTTCAGTACTTCTTGTGTGATCGGCGTTTCTAAGCAATCCCTTTTTGCTGGAAGCCAACCATAGCAGCTTTCATGAGGCAATGAAGCTTGGCATTGCTCGGTTTGTATTCGGAAACATTCTGTTCAGCAAGATCTAAGGCCAATTGACAGGGAGGAGAAAAAGTCTGCCCTTGGCTTGGATTAGCCTTTTTATAATCTGAGTTTTATTTTTCTTCTCCATCCAGCATCCATACTGTCTGT